GGAGGAACTACAAATAAAGCATTAAAATAATGTCCGTAAATATACCTTTAACTCGAAAGCTAGACTACTCCATCCTGCTCTTCCCAAACATGACACAGTATCATCTTGCTTTTTGAGCTCAAACGCATACAGACGTGTAACTAACTACTGCGTGTGTGTGTGTTCCCTTAAATGGGGGCTTGTAGTCAAGAAAACTACTTAGGAACCAACCCTGCACACCACAGACTCACTTCTCACGAGGGAATCAGGCTCCGTGTGCCAACCAGAGGAACCGAGCAGAAAAGAGATCAGGTTGAATCGCCAGGTACCGATTCCCGTGAACCGGAGACGGTGTGTTGCTTTATTTCCAAGAAGGACTCTTCCCTAAAGTTCTGATTTTAGCTTGTAACAAACATTATGAAGATGCTAACCTGCTCACATACTGCAGTTTCCGGTACCTCCCTAAAAATCTGATATAGCTGCGGGAGTTGAACAGTTTGTGAAGTTACTGGCTCTTCCGATCTCACTTCCCTATGCAAATGACTCTTCTGCGAGCTTGCTTATTTTTGCAACTCAGCCAGCAGTATCTGTAATCATTAGGTTTTTGCCCACAGAACTAGTTGTACACTATCCTAAATAAAATACACCAAAATGAAGACTTTCATTTAGCTGCTCAGTAAGTACATTCACGTTATTTTTGAATAGGTGTTCCTTTCTGAAGGAAGCTGCCCCAGAAAGCAGGTTAAAAAATTTTCAGGTGTTTTTGTGGCAAATTAGAAGACAGAGCACCAGACTGGACCGAACAGTTGCCCTACCAGGTAAGAGCAAAAAAGGAATATAAAGAGACAAGAGATTTCAGCTTGGGGCCCAAGAGAGATGCCGCCATGTGCTACCAGAGCGTGCCCTGCTAATGCCGGTAGCAGAAAGTAAAACCGGGGCTGCCGGGCTGGTGAAGACACGCAGGTGTGGTGGCAGCTGTGGTGGCAGCGGCAGGCCTGGAGAGGGCAGGGAAGCTCTGCCCCTGCTCCAGACCTTGCCCCAGGCATCTCTTCCATCTGGTTGTTCCTGAGGCGCATCCTTTATAATAAACCAGTAATACTAATTGTTTTAAAAATGGAAAAAGAAAAACCACATAATCCAAGCACAATTACAGAGAACACTTCAGCAGCCTCAATGGCATTCCGTACTTTAATATCACACTTCTCTACCTTGTTAGAAAGAGAGGTCTTTCCAGTTCTCTCCCTAGTACCCCACAGCTCTTTCTCTAACCACCCTAAACTTCAGCTTTCTGTTAAGGATGCAACTCACTTTCAAAAGTCAAGGTAGGAGATTCGTATAGAACTGCCTGACTTAACGTGAACTTCAGACAATCCTGAACCACCCATTTTCTGGTAACATCCCACTGATTAAATCATGCACAGAACTTTTCTTTTCCATCTCTAAAATGAAAAAAAAAAAGCGCAAACCTATCTCTGAAGTTGTCATACTTGATTCCTACTCAGCATTAACAACGTTAGGTACAAAAAGTCAGCAGCATACCAAAAAATTCCTCATTTCCCCCCTCCCCAAATGACAGTATGCTGGGTGCGCCCGGAACCGGCTTCAGCAGTGTGGCAGGAAAACACAACAAAAAAAGGGAACTGAACTACAAGGACCCAGATCCTGGCTTTCCCTCCTGGTGATCGCAGGACGAGTGACTTTTAGACACCCATCTTCTCTGGGCCTCTGACTGCTCAACTTGATAGGAACCAACCGAATTAGAAAGTCCTCAAAGCAGCTTTTAACATTAAATAGCTCTATTCTCTGTAAAGGAAATTACAAATCTGAGTGTTTATGAACTAACTTGGCAAGGCAAGCCCATGATGTTCTTCACCTGAAGTGCCGTGCAATTTGTGGACTTAAGCGAACACACTGGTTTACCAGGGCCACTGACAAGCATTTCTGAATTGAGGACGGTAGTGAGAACATACAGGATCCCTGGTTCCATTAGATTCTTAAATAGCCCTAACAAAAAAAAAGTTAAGAGCAACTAAACTGTAAGACTATACAAAAGTAGACATTAAATGTAAAAAAAAAAAAAAAAAAACTTTTGAAGGAATTTGCAATGAATTTCTCTTATCTCAAGGTACAGTATTCACCAGCTAAGAGAAGACAAATTTTGATGAGACAAACTGAACTACTAGAACTTTCTTCTTCACTACCGTCAGCTTGTGGTTATACAGGAAAAACAGGAGGGGAACGTGCCAGGAATTAGGCAGAGGAGCAGAGATCAAAGTAATTTGGCTTTGAAATCCATGACTTTTATATCAGATTTATTCTTCCAGTTATGTTCTGCTTCCATACAAATTAACCCTATGTTTCCTTTCTTCCAAACACTTAAAAGGAGACAGACAAGGAGAACACAGCACAAATTTTGTCTAAAGGCCTAAAAAATAAAAGCAAAATCAAGCCTATATTCAATTAATAAAGTCCAGCAGAACAATGATCCTTTGGGATTCTAGACAAATGTGTGTGTGTGTATACATATAAATATATAAATAAATATATAGTTACAAGCTAAGACTCTTATAATCACTAGCTATGTAGCCTGAGGCAAGATAGTGAGTCATTCTGAACTCAGTTTCTTTACTTCTAAAATGTGACTTACAGAAGTACTCAGAAAAGTTCTGAGGCTTAAATGAGACGGGAGTGTTAAAAACAAGGTAACAGCACTGGCTGGGATGGTTCCGCCGGCTGGAGTCAGGTTCGAGGCTGGGGGCTGCCTCCCACAGGGCTGTTTCTCTCCTCCCTCCCTTCCCCTCTCTCTAAATCAATAAGCATGTCCTTCAGTGGGGATAAAAAATACAAATAAAAAATAAAATAAACATGAGGAAAACAGTAAAAACTCAGGGAAAAAACTAGCTATAATTATTTCTCTAAATCAGATGAGAATCCATGACACCATAAGAAATGTAATGCATGGGAAAGTCAACCTCATTTCTATCTCTTCCTCTTTTTGACCCCACAAACTCATCAGCAGAGGTATCAAGCAGAGAAGTAGCTGCACGATGAGCAGAAAAAGAGGAAGAGGGAAAAAAAATCCCAGAGCAGCACTGTCCAACGGAGCCCCTACCATGTTCTCTACACTATTATCCAACATGGCAGCCACAGGCCACAGGTGGCTGCTGAGCACCTGAAAGGTGACTAGTGTTCCTGAAAAGTATTTCATTGTAAGTAATTTGAGTTTAAATACCCACATGTGGCTAAGGCTAACTTACTGGGCAGTGCAGCCCTAGATGACCCACAGACTGAACTGGGACTGCCAGAAATCTAACCAAAAAACCCGGGTATTTCCCTGAATTGTTCATGTGTTCGGTTCAATTATCTTTGTTTTCAGTAGAGACCTGGGAACTATGACTAGTTAAAAAAAAATAACATGTCAGCTGATACATCAATACAGGGCAGCTCAGTGCTAATAAAAGGATCAGAGATAAGAAGTATGTGGTCCTCTGATATTTTAGAAGGTCCCAAAGGCCAAGTTAAATTCAAGCACACACGAAGCATGATTCAGGACATGGACCAGAGCTGCAAAGGTCCTAATCAGCAGCTCCCAAGCATCTGTTTCTTCAAAGCCACATGGAAAGAAGCTGCTTCTACCTGCAGACTGAACACCCGTGCATTTATTGTCAATTTTTTCAGAAATTCAGAGTGCTATAAGCCTTCAAAAACACCAGCATTCCTGGCCGGTTCAGCCTTTCCACCATAAACAAAACCTGTGCACCACCCGTATCTGAGGTATAATGCCAGACTCCTGCTTAGCTGCCCCTGTAATATGGTTTAATTATGATGACTGAACTAATAGGCTGACATCATAGACTTTTACAGGCTGACCCCATGTCATCCTGATGTATCATTTTGCGCCAGTTCAGTGCTGTAAATCAATTTAAGATCTCAAGGAGGTTGAAAAGGCTGGTAATGATGCTTTCTCTGCTGCCTCTGGAGACTCTACATTATACACAACTTACATTATTTATAAAGCCTCAATGATGCCTCCATTAGCCTTGTAAGACTACACAAATGAGATCTTTTATACACACACAGCTTGGCCCCAATCGTGTAGGCGACTGCAGCTTAAATACACTCGTCTAATTACACTCAAGTTCATTCTTTTTCCAATCTAACCAAGTTATTAAGTTTTATCTTTAACCCAGAATTGCTAGAAATCAAAATCATAATCGGAAATTCAGTTTTTAACTAGTAAATATATTTGGGAAGATGAGACTTCCTCTTAATGCTTTAACTTAGTAGGAAAAAAATTAAATTTCAAGAGGTGTAAAAAGTTCCCATTTTCAATTGCCTCAACTGTCATTTTTCTAATGCAAAGGTCATCCGCTCTTCAAGGGTATAAAACCAAAGGATGATGCAAAAAGGAAAAATGGATTTGGTTACATACCTATGGCTGGAGGGGACAAAACCAAAGCAAGGACATATCCCGACCCGCAGAAGAAACCCGATCCGGCCTGGACCCCTGGGAGGCTCCGGCATCACCCACCTCTAGAAAATCATCTCTTGAGACCCTGGTTACAGTTTCCTAAGAACTGCAGTACTACACAAACGTACACCACCTGCACAGCAATACCAAATAACTGCAAATGGGAAAGAGGGAGGGGGCGGGGAGGACAGACACTTAAATCAGCACAGCATATTTAAGCCTGGCACCTACATCAGCTAACACTGATGCAAAATATTTATACTAATTGAAAATGCTGCGGCAGGAAAGATCGCTTCCGCCTCAGTGCGTTTTCCATGGTAGTCCCAATACAGCTCCTCTACCTCCAATAAAACGTAAAGTGGTCATCATCGACAAAGCGAACAATCCCCACAGGCAGAGAACAGTTTTCTCATTGTGTCGCTGAATTGTAATAGGCATGTTATCCACGACAGGCCGGCCGGCAGAGCGAGATATGTTCCGAAATAAAGGCACTTGTCAGCAACAGGAAAGACATACAGAAATCGTGCAACTTCTGAATCATTCCACCTACTTTGAAACTTCCAATACAATGGAAAGCAGAGACCACCAAGAGGAAGAAAAGGGCCGGTTGTCACAATATTCTAGAAAACGAAGCTTTCTCGGGAGCTGATTCTCAGACGCGCCTCATTTTCGGAAAGGAAGCGTCTTCCCGGTTATCTCGCACAGTGTATACAAAAATCGTGTGCGCCTCCGAATAAACAAAAGCCGCAGCTACTGCAGTTGTGAGATCCGGCAGGCATCTCTTCCTCCTCCTTTCCGAAGGACATCAAGGAAGCGCTCTGCCTTTAAGCCTTCATATTTATTAAGCAACTAGAAAAACAAGCCCACATCTCTCTGTCTCACACCCACCACCCCCACCTTCTACAGAAACAACCCCGGAAACCCTTCCAAGGCCAGGGAGCAGAGTAAATGAGCAGTTGTTCGACAGGGAACTCACAAATACGCTTGCAGTGAGGCAATCGAATCCGGTCAAGGGAAAGGAATGAGACGACACTTGGAGGCGCAGGGGGGTGTAGGCGGAAGAGAAAAAAAAAATTACGCGCAGCCGCCGCCGCCAAATCTTTGAATAAATTAGAAGGAATTTCAGGACGAACTTTCCTTGACCTCCGCCCAAGAGGTTCGTTGGGGCAGAGAAGGGAACATGACTGGGAGGCGGAGGGGGCCCAGGACACTGGGTGTCCCCCACAGTGAGAGATCGGCTCCAAGCACCTAAAGGGCAGTGCCACCGACGGCCGCCCTCCAGCTCCCGAAAGGGTGGCCGGGGCCAGCGCGGGACACAATGGGCCCAGGGCCGCGCGGACCGGCCTGGGCCAGGCTGTAAAAAGGGAAAGAGAAACGGGGGGCAGGCAGAGCGGGAGGGGGCCGGGGAGATTCCGCCGCTGGTGGGGGGGGGGGGGGGGGGCGCGAGGCTGGGGCGAGGCTCGGGCAGAGGAACGCGGCTTCCCCACCGCAGACCCAACAAAGACGCGAGAGGGATCCCGGTCTAGCCTTGCTCAGCTGGTTGGGGTGAGCGGAGAAGGTGGCAGGTTCGTTTCTCCAAGCGGCCGGGAGGCGCCATCATGGGGGGGGGGGTTCCCGATCCGCCCCACGCGAGGAAGAGCCCCCTCCCCACCGCGGATCGCGCCGACCCCTGGGACCGCGGCAGTCCTGCAGCCCGCGCCCGCCCCCACTGAGGCTGCGGCGGCGCACTGGAAAGTCCAGAGCGCCAAGGGGAGACAGCGGGAACACAGCAGAAGAGAAAGTTGGGTTCGGGTCTGTTTCGTTTTACCGGTTTGGCGGCAGCCCGTCCGTGCAGGCGCACGAGTGGCCGGGAGAGTGGGGTCCCGTGGCCCCGGTCCGGGCGGCCGGGCAATGAGCCGCGCTGCACTGGCAGGGTCCTTCCCCGCGCCTCGGCCCGAGCTCAGTCGCTCGGCCTCTGCTTCCTCCTCCCGCCTGCCCGCTCGCTCCGGAGCCTGGATTGATCTGGTCGCGCTGGCGTCAGGGAGTCGGAGCCGCCCAGCCTCCACTCCTCCGCTGCCAATACCCGGCGCACTCGCCCGCCCGCTCGCTCGCTGGCCTGCTCACACGCGCACCCGCGCGCCGCCGCGCGACCAGGGATCCTCTCCAAATTCCAGGCCCCGCCGGCCCCAGCGCCTCCGGCAAGGGGAGCGGCCCTTGCCCCCGCCCCCCCCCCACCCCATTGATTCTAAGGGGAAAAAAAATACGTGGAGCGTTCGGACTTCCCTCCCTCTGCCTCCTTTAGTCCTGGTGAGCGGACTTGTCGCATTATCTGCACGTGAAGTTCTGTGTCTGTTTATTTTGTAAAATGCTCATCCTCGCGCCTACCGAAACGTACCATAAACTTAGAGTGGATGTAAGTCAATTATCTTTCCAGAGTCTCCTATTTATATCTAGCTTTCATTGTCCCTCACCTACTCCCCAACGATTTGCAAGTCCCAGAAGTTTCACGTACCCAGAATTGGATAGCCTAGTTAACTATCGCATGTGCTTATACCAAACCCTGAATCAATACATGTATTTTGTGCCAATTCGGGATCCAAAGATTCCAGTAGGTAACCTCTTTGCCCCGAAGCCGGGTGCCACAATATCACTCTAAATTTTTGATCCAATTTCCCCATCTTGTAGACGTCACCCCTCCCAATAAAACAAACTAGCTCTCATCTACCTGGTCTGCATAGACACTGAAAACACTTTTTTGTTAAGAATTAATTTTTCCCTTGGCCAGCTCTCTGGGAGCTGGAATGAAATCTTGCATAATTATCAAAATGTCGAGTTGTGTTTAGAAACGAAGAATTATTCTGAGGAATAAATTTTATATGAACCACCAGAATTGTTCCCACCCAAATAAAATATGAAAGACCTCTGTAAAATAATGGTACTCTTCAGTTGTTCACATCCATTTCCATGTCCTCATTCCATTTGAAATACTGATTTATTAACCACTTCATTCTTACTGCATTCTGTGTTTAATTATCCAAAGAAAATGCAACAAGTCCCATAAAACACCAAATACCATTTATAAATTACAGATAAGAATACTGCTAACTCCTTAGTTAAACTATTCGAGCACTTACTGGTCGATTCTTGGGCCTCATCTTATTTTTCCTGAAAGCAGCGTTTGACACAGTTCATCATTCTCTGCTCCTTGGAATAAGCTGGAGTGAACCTCGTTCAATGCCACTCAGATCGGGTCACTGGCCCTGCTCACCACCCTCCCTTGTTAAACAGAAGGTGCTATCTCCACACACACAGTGGAACATTATTCAGTCATAAAAAGGAATTAAGTGCTGACACATGCTACATGTCCAAACCTTAAAAACATTATGCTAAGTGCAAGTCTCCAGAAATTGTACGCTTCCACTCGCTGTATATGCAATACCCAGAAGAGGCAAATCTGTAGAGATTGAAAGAATGGGGGTTGCCCGTGTTTAGGCAAATGGGGGAAGTTAGTGGTGGTGGTAGCTAAAGGTTATTGGGTTTCTTTCCGAGGGTAATGAAAATGTTCCAAATTTAGTGTGTGATAATGGCTGCATAATCCTGTGGATATGCTAAAGAACCATTGAACTGTACACATTAAATGGGTGACTTATATGGTATGAGAATTTTAGTTCAATAAAGCTACTTTTTTAAAGCATGATATCTAAATGCAGTGTATGATCCTTGATTGGATCGTGGATTGGGAGGCTATAAAAATGGCATTATAAAACCATTAATCTTTTAAAGGGACAGATGACCTTTCTTAGTGCAATCCTAGTGGCCCCAAATGATAATTATTAATAGTACACATCTTATGAAATTTTATTTTTCCCATTGTGCAAGTTTTTTTAAGTAGTAATAAAAATTGGACTTTTTTTTAAAAAAAAGAACATTGTTGGAACAATTATGAGCACTTGAAAGTGAGTTGTATGTTAATATCATTGTATCAAAACAACAAAATTGTCCCTCCCTGTTTCACTCCATATGTTAAGTTCCCACAATGTGTACAAGACCCTACATGATCTTTCTTCCCCACCCTCTTTTGTCCCTCTGCCCTGGTCTCCAACTCTCCCCCTTGCTCACTTCCTCAGGTCACCCTGGCCTCCTCACAAGTCCCCAAACAACCTGGGAACACTGCTACCTCAGGACTTTCGCACTCGCTGTTCCCTCCCCAGAAACCCCTTCTAACAGATGTCCACATGGCCCTCTCCGCCTCACCTCTCAGGTCTTCACTCCGATGTTTCTCCCTCAGGGAGTCCTAACCTGGGCACACTGTCTAAAATATATCACACGCTCCCCGCACAGTTCTCCCAGACACGTACATGTCATATCCTCTTTCCCGGCTTGGCATGGATAGTTCACTTCTCACTATGTAACTACTTACGTAGCCAGAAGAGCAAGGTTGGGGGGCTGTTCTGTTCGTTGCTATACTTCTCAGTGCCTAGAGCAGTCTGGCACCTAATCAGGGCTCGTCAAACAGCTGCTGAATCAATGAATCAAGCACCGTTTAAGGCACAGGGGATATGGTAGCAAACAAAACAGATAAAAATCCCTGCTTTCATCAGAGAAGACAATGAATAAATACATCGTGAACCAGAGAAGGGCACTGCAGTCACTGAAGCACTGCGCGTACAACAGGTGGTCTCATAAGATTATAATGGAACCGAAAAATTCCCTTTGCCTAGTGATGTCATAGCACAAGGCGTTACTCATGCGTTTGTGGTGACTGCCGTGAGCAAACCTGCGACACTGCTGGTCACTCACAATCATGCACGGTCCGTAATTCCTCATAACGATAGTAAACAACTATGCCAATGCTTTGGGCATTTACTATGATATCCTTTCTATCATTGTTTTAGAGTGTACTCTTTCTACTTTTGAAGAAATAAAAGGTTTGCTGCAAAACAGCAGCGATGTGACTCTAGCAGCAGCCTCATACATCTCATGTTTACTGAGTCTCTTGATTGCATCCTTTTCTCTTGTGCTTGATTTAATCTCCTGTTGTTTTGTACAGTGGTGGGCTGTACCGGCTTGTAGCCTAGGGGGGACAGGCTAGACCATATACCTAGGTGTGTAGTAGGCTGTAACATCCGGATCTGTGTGCCTGTACTCTGTGATATCTGCACAATGATCAAACTGCCTCAGAATGCATTTCTCAGAAAGTATCCCCATTGTTAAGAGGTGCATGCCTGTACATCAGTGTGCTAGGTAGTGGTACACAGGATGGAAGCGGCAAGATTTGAGGGATTGGGAATGGGGGGGGGGGTATTTCTACAGGGGCAGGAGAAACCTCACTGACAGGAGATCCTGAAGGAAGAGAGGGAGAATCCCACATGACCAGGGAGGAGGTTTGCCAGTCTCCCAAACAGAGGGAAGAGCACCACTAAAGAGCCCATAGCCGACTCTCCACCCATTCACCACAGAGCCGGGAGGGGCCAGCCACAGGATGGAAGGCAGAGTGTGTGGGCCCAGGTGCTCGGGGGCTGCAGAGCTGGAAACACAGGGCTGTTCTCTCCTCTCTGCTTCTCTTACCTCAGCGACATGGCCACAGACCAGACTCCCTGAGACTGGGGAGGCGGAAGAGATGTCGGAGGTTGGAAGAGAGAGGAGCAGATAGGAAACAGTTATCTTCTGGGAGAATTTGAGAGCACGTGAACTTGAGAACGCGGTCAGATTGCCTGGCAGCACTTTCAAATGCCTATTTGAGGTTAGTGGTCATGAATTCAGAGCAAGATCAGTCAGCACGGCTGAGGGTTTTTCTCCAACCCTCTTAACCATCAGGGCCGCAGCTGGATTTGACCAGGGCCGGAGGTGTGCAGAAGGGTGTGATGGAGCAAAGGGGTGTCAGAGGGCAGAGAGTAGGGGGACTGTGGTAAGGAGGGAGCTGAAGACATTAAGGAGTGAGGACAGTGCA